CATTTTGTTGTGAACTGTGACAATGCTGTTGTAATATAATCGCTAATTACATCATTGATTTTCATCTTTGCACAAATAAGAAGGTGATGAATTTTGATGAAAATACTGGTGACTACAGTGATTTTCAGTAATTCATTTAAATGCATATTTAGTACAATAACAGTAGCAGTCACTAAGGTGAGACTAGTAATCCGATTATTGATAGGTTCACTCGTCATACTCTGAATACGGTTGAATAAATTTAACCGTGGCAAAATAAATTTTTGGTTTAAAATATGTGTAATGCCACCTATTACGTCTTAGACTTGCTAGGGAATAATCACAACTCTCAATAACTAATGCATCGTTGATCTTAACATTTGACTTCTGGTCACTCTATTTATATGCATTCAAACGTCTCCACGCTTACTAAATTTTCAGCGTCTGAATCGTTTGATTGGGTTACAGAATAAATGGAACTTTGAAAATGATAAAATATACCACGCAGATATGCGTAAAGTAAATTAAAAATTTTGCTTTCCACACGCCCAGTGGTAACACCGAGACTGAAAATGAATTACCTAGTCTGGCCAGTTCCTGCTGTGTTTATCAGTTCGACTGCTCCTTTGGAGCCAGGTACGTCGGTACCTCCTCTAGGAATAAAAGTAAAGGTGTGGTAAAGACTATTACCAGCTCCATATTAGTAAATATGGTTGAAACCAACCGTACAGTGGATTTGAGTGAGTCGTTTTCAATTTTCTACCTCATTCCTACCAACCTCCCGAAAGATACCCGACGTAGGACCCTTCGAACTACAGAAGCAGTAGCAATCAGGATCAAACAGCTCGAGTCGTATGTTCAAAAGGAGCAAGTTTTGCCTATAGAACTACCGTGGCCTGAAACGAGAGACACAAATTTTTTAGCATTCTGACTTGGGTAATCTAATTCCATACTGTAAATACTCCTTCTCTATAATCTGAAATAATTTTAACAAATTTTTCTAACTTATTTTGTTATTCTTAGTTTATTGCATCCAGCTGTCATAAAACACCTTCCTGTTGTTTTACTAAACTATCACCTTATATTATTACAATAAGCCGTATAATCATTTAGATAACCAATTATTTTGCATTGAATCCTAGTGATAGTTAATTCTGTCACGAACGTTCACACTGGACTTTTCTGAATTAATAGTGTTAACAAACTGATAAGCGGGATCTCTATATTGCTGACGAGTAATTCCTCAATATGTAAGTATAACTTTAGAATCTGAAGAAGAAATTATCGAAAACAATGCTCTTTATTCGCTCAAATGGCTCTTAAAAATTGGCGAATAAATAATTCCACCAGAACAGATTGCATATTTACTACTGAAGGAAGATATTAGCTGCAAGTTGTAAATATTGCTTTAATGGGTTTCACTCCAGAGAGTGAGGACAGTCTGCAAGATATTTCAACACCTTTATGCCTCTGTAAAAAACATATCATTCTACTTGATCGCCTCAATATAATGCATATTCAAGAGGCATCAAAGTATCTGTATAGGAACCCATAAGTCAACAGAGGTGGAGCTATTTGATTCAGCATATCAACAAGCAATTACAAGTATCGAAAATGACAACTGATACCTGTTGCGCATGAGGAAAATCTCATGACCCAGTGGACTAGTGAGTAGTGCTTCGGGATTTGAGTCAGTTGGTGCTGGGTTCGAGTCTCAGTAGGAAAACCATAATTCATTGTGGTGCGGGTACTTGAAGCTGGTGAGTTTAGAATAAGAAGAAACTCGCGTCCTGGTTTCCACTGCTAATCACCACCAAGGAAATTACAACGTAATCAGTTTTCAAGCAATATTGAGGCATCAGCAAAGGAGCTCATCTGCCAACAAAGGACGAGCAACTCAACCCAGTACAGCAGCGGGAAATTAAAAGTACCAATAAAAGCATGTATGTACAGAATATTAACTGAATAGAAATTAAAATTCTGAATTGAAGAACATTTTCCTAGCTGTCAAGTTTTGACAAAATAGGCGGTTATATGCCATTTAACCTTATCAAATTGACAGCTACCAGTATTACAAAAGATTTTATAAACAGTAGTTCATTAAAAAACATCTCAGCCACGATCATGGATAACCGAGTAATAGTTCAAAATGTGTTCTTAACTAGAATGTCCGAGTGACAGTGTTTCAACACTGCAAACACACTCGCTAGAAGAGGTATCTCATACACTTTGGAGGGGACTGTCCGTATATGTTAGATAGTGTATGTGTACCAGCACAGAAAAGGTGTAAAGATTTGAGGTTGTCTTTCAGTATAACACAATTCAATATGAATCACACACACATATGGGCATGAATTTAACAAACACCAGTACTCTGTTATGCCCTCTTATGACTAATATCGTATGATTTACGAATCTATAGTGAAACTCAAAAACTGAATGAATCATAAAAGGCTACTTGGCGAAGAAAGTTTTAAACGAATCATTTACAAAAGCTGTACATAGAAATCAGTTACAATGAAACATGTGTTCATCAATAACTAGAGGGTCAATATAAAGTCATCAAAAGCGGTCAACAGAATCACAAGGTTATAACGTCTAGATGATTAACTCAAGGTCATCAGGATTGCTTATAGGATTATAGTAAATAAACGAAGAAATGACAAACCTGTTTTAAGAAGATCACGGCCAAGGCAAACTTAGAGACTGAATGTATCTCTTTTGAAAATAAAAACCAGCAGCTGGATTCTTGGACATTTAGTTTACTCTGGTCACTGTATTTCATGATAGCCTTCTTTAAAAGTCATTTATAAATCGAAGTCAAACATTTCGAAGGCAGTGAGTATTCGCTAACTCAAAGCAGCAAAGCTTTTAACAAGCCTGATCTTTATATTCAGTAGAGAACATTTGATCTCTCTAATCTCCCTAAAACAGATTTCTCATTTTTTTTGCTTATTTATTATAGTCTTTTGAAAAATTTTTATGATCTTGAGTTTACCTTCTAGACTTTATCGCCTTGTGATTCGACTGACCGCTTTTGTTGACTTTATGTTGACCCTCTAGTTATTGATGAACACATATTTCATTGTAACTATGATTACTATGTACAGCTTTTGTAAATGATTCGTCGAAAAATTTCTTCGCTGAACCCTCTCTTACTAAGCGAATTATTCTCACTAGAGAACTACTCATTTCTCCTGAATTACCAACATTAAACTTATTCCATTTAACTAATCCAATCATTATCTACCAACCTAATGACATTATTTGGTCACTACACGGTAATAGTGAAAGAAGCAAAAGACAGTCTCATTAACAATCACCCACAATGGTCAAATGAACAGCGTTAAAATGTTTTACTTTCTAAACAATAATCAGTCTTTTGAAGATGCTACCTGAATACGACTCGAAGAGACATTAGAAAGACATTCAGGCATTTAATTTCGGTAATACAGGATTCTCTACTGAATGTGTCTAAAATCTTATGCTTGTGAAAAATCGTCTAGTGTTTTATTTTGTAATTGCTGACCATCTATGCCTTGAACTAAGATTAGCGTTTATCGTACAATACTTTGTTCTAACTGTATAACATATCACTAGCTTTTAACGATTGACAAAGAAACTACTGCAACCAATACCACCTGAGCTCCATCAGTGTCACGCTTTACAACTGTTGACATCATCGACGGCTTCGATGGGGATGTGATTCCGAAACAGCTTATAATCCTCAAATCCATCCATGAGCACATATTTTATCCGAGATTAACTGTAAGATTAAACTGCTAGAGAATTGTTCCCATTATATAATCTTTAGTTATTGGCTTCACGAATTGATCTTCTATGAAATGTCTTTTTGAGTTCTTATTCTTTTCCAATATCCTACATGTCCCGAAAGATTGTTTTGTTTTAAAACCAGTGTTAACTTAATTCTTCTGCATGTATTTACTCGGCAAACTTACTCTGTCCATTTCAGTCTATTTTTTAAAAAAAGGTAAATTTTCCTGATGTCACAAGCTAAATTCATACTGTTCACTACTATCAACTTAAGCTTTTCAATAGCGTAGTGAGACTACTTGGGCTTTACGTTCATAGACAGTGCAACCTTCGGTTACTAGATTTATTCACATCTGTAAAAGATGTATTATGCGTAACTAGCCAATAAAATTGCAACTTCTGTACTCTAATGTGACACTTGGAAGTCGGGTTTTACACCGATAAGATATTCATTGTTCGCTAATATCGACTGTCAGCTAACCAATAACCTTCAAGTTTATGGCAAGTATAAATAATAAACTAATAAAAAGGAATAAAGAAAGCAGTGAACAGTGAGCATTCACAAATTTTAAAGAAGATAGCAAAGACATAAGGAGAATATACCGTGGGTAAATTTTATTGAGCTTTGAATGATCGATTAGACAACAGAAACGGAAGTTATATGCTGCAAAGATAGCAATAAATCACTAGGGTGTTTTTCAAGATCTGTTTCCTCAACTAAAAGCTGATATATATATATATATATATATATATATATATATATATATATATATATATATATATATATAGTTCATACTTACGGAGTCGTAGCAAAATAACGATTCATCTCAATCTCTATTAACTTGAAAACAGCATAATGATTGTGATAAGCTACGACAGAAGAGGTATTAAACAAGATGAGTGTAATAATTGTGTTAAATATTCGTGGCTCAGTGTATTGATTTTCAAATTGAGTTCTCCTCTAAGCTGAGGTTTTGTTTACGAGCCTTTCACAAAAAATTGAAGCTGTGATGCAGTGATGACAATGTCTAACATGACATCGAAACATTTCGCAACTGAAACTTTCTCTTCCTCGTTTTCTTTATCCTTCTATTCTTTAACAGGAATGTCATTAAGTAAGGAATTTGTAGCATCTCACCAATTATTAAAACAAAATTTACATCTCCCTTGAGAATATTGTATGCAAAATAATTTCAATGGTATCATATTACTGAATATCAGTTACACTGGGAACAAATGTAACTTACCAAAATTGGCTACATTATATTCAATGGTCAGTGTTAAATAATTTCTAATACTTTGTATTAGTTTCATTGCCTCTTCACAAGTCAATTGTCCTGTATGAATACTATTGATAGTTAGTATACGATCTCCAGGTTTTATTCTTCCATCACTTGTTAAAAGCAACAAAGGGAAAAAAAGAAAAATAAAGGAAGATTGGATTACAAGAATATTACTCAAATATGTATGTTAAATCGAGATACTAGTAAGAATGGTAACGTCGTCAACGTTTAATTTTTACATATCAACTGTTTACTTGGAAAATGCTCCATATACAAGCATTTCATGGGATAAAGTCTGAGAAGATCATTTCAGAGGACATTGCAATTTCTGCTCTAAGTGACCTGTGTAAGTTCGAAATACGTTGATGTAGTAGAGGAGATTTGCGACTCAAGACGTGCGTGTCAATTCTTAGTAACTTAGGAGCTTAAATGTCTGGTTTTAGGTGATTAATCATCAGATGAAGAGACCTCAACACCATTTACTTTAACAGGAAGTGCATTCGTATTGACCTCTGACTGACTTCATTTGCAATGAAGTCATTATCCGGGATCTTTAACTTTTCACGCAGTGTTCATACAATAAAATCAAACTGCTTGTGATTATAAACTTCTGCTAACTTAGTGAATTCATTATTCCAATAGTAAACGATGCTATCACCTACCATGATTTAATATCCAAAGACAGATGGTGTTAATAAATAATGGGATCTTTTCAAATTACTTAATATGGTAAAATTCTTCAATTTTTAAAGAAACCAGATAGGGTTTTATATCATTTATCACATAACTTGTTTATTATTTAAAGTATTGTTTACAAGTCTTATATTCTTGCAGAGGTTCTTCTTTCTGGTATCCTTCCTACATAAACTATTATTTAATGAATCAAGATAGTAATATTTCTTGCAAGTGTACACGTTGAACTGTTTCATGGTTTCCTGTTGAAAATTTTCATCGACTATTTATGCGTCCACACTGTGATAATAGCTCTCGAGTTCTTTGGCAAGCTCAGAATTTAACTCTCAGCGAAGTGACAGTTAGGTCATTGATACCAGCTACCAGCTACTTAAAAATTTATGCAAAGTTTATCATATGAAACTCCACGGATCATAGTATAAAACTACCAAATATAACAACCAGTCAACTACCAAATAATAAATAATTATGCTCGTGACATCTAATCTGGAAATGTTTGACATTATTTAGAATACTTTTTTGATGATTCATTTATCTGTGAAGCTTATGATTTCCATAGATTAACTGAAGATATGTCATTCAGTTTGTACAACTTGATTTATTCCAACTTAGTTTTTATCACAGAATGATATCAAGTGAAGAACCACTATAAATTTAAGGGAAGTGAACAGTGAATTCTTTCTTGTATGGGACTGATCAGCCACATGGACCGTTTACTCCGTTTCGCCACAAGCACGTCACCATTTATTCACTGAATAGGTATCTAATAGACCATATTTTTTCCATTTTGTACAAATAAACTTTTCACAAATCTGTTACATATGCAATTCTGAATGTTTTACATAAGTGATCCCCTGGAAAATCAGTACGAAGGCAGTGGTTCGAATGTAGCCTGTAAGTCACCTTTATGACCTTTAATGACTCAATGTGAACGCAGTTTGCAGGATAAGTAAAGTCATTTATTTCATAAGATTTTCTTCAGCTACATACAACCTTATGTAACTCATTTTAAGAAACCGGTTCCCTTGTGTCCTTAATTACTGTCTACCTGATGTTTACAATATGAACCTGTATCTAAAGACGCTCTAAATGTGGTTGTGTGCAGCTTAAGAAGGTCCCATGAAACAAACGACGTCACCTGTTCATGCAAACGGTGTTCTCATTGCGTTATTCAAGCCCTCAGGCGTTGGTTTTACATAATAGTTCAGAAGTATATCCCTTCCTGACACCGAAATAAATTGTCAACTGGATAAATGTATCCGGTAGAGTTTGAAGTTAGTTGAGAAGCTGAAGCAAATAAAAAGTTATGAGAAGATTTTAAACTAGATTTGCAGATATTACAGAAGGTATGTGTTAAATGGATTCTTGAAAAACTGTCATGAGCCTGGGCAGAATAGTCGTTTTAGATGCAGGCATTCATAATCACTTTTTAGAATTGGCAACTAAAATACTTCAGTGCAATTTCTTTTTATATGGAAAAAAATCAAGAGAGATAGTTTCTAGAAGTTGAATCACTCGCATCTTTAACAGCGAATCTCTCTGTGATTATTGCTAGTGTCTTCTGTCCTTGTTTTTACTTTTGAACTACGGGTAGGCTTGTACTCACCTAAACTGAAATCATTATGGCAGTGCTTCGTGATGTAAATGTTCACTGTGTTCTAGACCACTAACTCGAACTTTCAGAAGTTGAAAATTCATAACTGGATTATACATTGGTTTTTAAATCCACCAGGCCAGAAGGATTTAGATGGTTTTGAAAGTGATATCAGCCGATAATGACAATCATTTGGAGCTTTCCTATGCTTATCGAGCATTTTTTTTGGATTAAGTGATGAGAATTAAAAAAAATGTAACATTCTGTTTTAATTCAGTCAGAGAAACTCGATGTTCGCGAGTTAAGCAACAATAAATCTTTAAAAAGTGTGACCCCCTGATAGATTATTATAAAGAGATTAAAAACGGTGGCAGCAGGATATTTAGCCCACCTGAGTTCAACCACTGCTTTGATAACGAATCCTCAAAACTCAGATCTTGATTCATTACGTAACTTGGCAGTAATTGAGGCGTCAGAGTTTAATACTTAGCGAATTATTGACAAGTAATTAAGCACGTTTGTACCTAAAGGAGAACCTCGCTTGGTTAACCAGTTCACTAGTTACTAGCCGGTCCTAAGCCCGAACAAAGAGGGAAGGTTGGGCATCGGGCTAACAACCCTACCCCGCTAAAGAAATTTCAAAGCACAAACAAAATATGAAAAATAAAAACAAAATTATTCCTCGCTGGAATCGGAGAGGCGAAATGACTCCGGTTGGTGAAAGCCTTAGGGAAGCCAAGTGGCCGATGTGTCTTCTCTCCCTCGATGAAAGCGAAAGTAAACGTGGGGACATGGAATGTCCGCACCATGTTTGGCAGCCCAGATTGAAAACGAGATGAGAAGGTATCACGCTGAAGTGATAGGAATTTCGCGAAAGCAGATGGAATGGAATGGACTCTCCAAACTGTCAGCTGGAGAATCAATAATCTACTCCGGTCACTCAGACGACAACCACGAACACACTGAGTTTTCGAGTGGCTATCATGATGTACCCAACAGCACCGAAGGCCCTCATGCAGTGGGAACCAATCTCCTCCAGGATCATGACACTAAGGTTCAACTCAAAAGGAAGGAAGGTCACAGTCATACAATGCTAAGCTATGCATCTACAAATAACGCAAATCAAGAGAAGAAGGAGGAACTCTACAGACAACTTCAGTCAACACTGGACAAGGCGTCAGTTGGCGATATCAAAGTTCTAATGCGCGACATGAATGCCAAACTGGGAGCGGAAAACACAGGAAGAGAACAAACCACGGGCAGAGAAGCGCTCGGTGAAATGAAAGAGAATGGAGAATTGTTTGCAGAATTCTGTGCATTCAACGATTCGGTGATTGGAGGCACTGTGTTCAAGCACAAGGATATCCACAAGGCGAAATGGATTTCACCAGATGGACATACTAAAAATCAGATCGGCTTTATCTCAATGTGAAGAAAGTGGAGACGCAGCCTACTAGACACAAGGTCAAGAAGAGGGGAAGATGTAGGTTCACACCACTCACTGTCTAGTGCAAGGAACCTACCTTCCGAATCAAGTTAAAAGCCTTCAAGGAAGCTGGTGATAGACCACAGTTCAAGTACAACACTCGGAAACTGAAGGACGAAACTGCAACGGACATCTTCACATCAGTCATCAGGAAAAAATTGGTGACATTAAACAACATCCCCGAGGAAACCCACGTGGAAGAACACTGGAACTCTGTGAAAGCTAGGTAGAAGGAAACCTACATAACCGTGTTAGGAAGGAAGAAGAAAGAAGACAAGTAATAGATCTCGATGGACACATGGAAGCTGATAGAGGACAGGAGGATGGTGAGGCAGAAGATGAACCGGTGAAGTGCAATGCAGGGATGAACAACGAAAAGAGGAACTGAACACAACCTGTAAAACACTACAATGGACAAAGAAGTGAAGAAGAGTGCGCGCAAAGACAAAAGACACTTCTACGAAACACTTGCAAGTGAAGCAGAACAGGCTGCAGGTAAAAGAGACCTGATAACATTGTATCGAATAACCAGGTTATTATCTGTTATGGAAGAGATCAACAGAGATGAAACCAATAAAAGATGATGAAGGAAATTTAACTACCAAAGAAAAGGAACAAAGGAAACGATGGGCTGACCACTTCAAAATACTCTTGAATCGACCACCACCTGCACTTCGTCCAGAAATACCACCTGCCGCCGTTGAACTACAAGTGAACATAAATCCGCCGACAAAAGTGGAAGTCCTGAACGCCATAAAGCTACTGAAATGCGGGGAAGCGTCAGAACCAGATGGAATCCCGCCAGAAGCACTGACAACAGACGCGGGACAACAGCAGACATGCTCACACCACTATTGCAGAAGGTGTGGAAGGAAGAGAAGGTACCTGGCAATTGGAAGAAGGGTTACCTTGTCAAAATCCAAAAGAAGGGAAACCTCAGTGTTTGCAAGAACTAGCGCGGAATCACTCTCCTGTCCACCCCAAGCAAAATATCAAGCCGCATCATCCGGGAGAGACTTAACAATGCACTGGATTCAAAACTACGACCGGAACAGGCAGGCTTTAGGAAGTAAAAACTATGTGCGGACCAAATTGCAACGTTTCGCATCACCATAGAACAGAGTAAAGAATGACAGTCAACCCTCCACCTCAACTTCATCGACTTTGAGAAGGCCTTTGACAGCGTCGACCGAGAGGTTATTTGGAAACTGCTTGAATACTACTTAATTCCGCAAACCCTTATCAATCTCATTCAACAACTATATGAAGACGCCACATGCCAAGTGATTCACAATGGAAAGCTGAGCTCAGTGATGCCTTTGAAGTGAAGACGGGTTGACAGGTAAGACAAGGCTGCTGCCTACTATCACCCATGATCTTCCTGATCGTGGTCGACTGGATCATGCAGCAAAGCATGAGGAGCGAGAGGATGGGCATACGCTGTTTGACCGATGAGAAGAGCCCATAAGATTTGCATTTCGCCAATGATGATGATGATGATGATGATGATTTATACCTAATGTCACACAAACTTGAAGATCTACAGGCAGAAATCAAGAAGTTGGCAGAAGAGGTAGGGCAGCGAAGACGGGACTTCAAGTGAACGTATATAAGACAGAGGCGATGAAGAGACCCAACCAACCAACCAGCAGCAGCAGCAGCAGCAGCAGCAACAACAACAACAACAACAAGCACCAATCACCATCAACGGAAGAAACCTGAAGGAAGTAGTCTCTTTCACCCACACCTACCTAGGCAGTATCGTTTCAACTACAGGCGGCACAGGCGTAGATGAGGATGTCAAAGTCAGAATTGGAAAAGCAAGACAGGCGTTCAATAACCTGAAACCAGTGTGGAGATCTTCTGCACTTAACATGTGGAACAAGATACGGATTTTCAACACCAACGTCAAGTCAGTGCTTTTGTATGGCTCAAAGACTTGGCGCGTCACGAAAGGCATTTCCAATAAACTACAGACATTCATCAACAACTGTCTACGCTCGCTACTGAAGATCAGATGGCCAGAAAGAATAAGCAACAAGGAGCTCTGAGAACGAACCAACCAAGAACCTATCGCTCAACAAATATGCAGAAGGAAGTGGAGATGGATTAGGCATACACTGGGAAGCCGACTGGGGACATCACACGCCAAGCCGTTGAGTGGAACCCAGATGGGAAGCGACGAGTTGGGCCTCCAAGGTGAGGGTGACATGGAGGAGATCGTGCGAGGAGGGAATGTGAGGTTGTGGGCTGTCGTGGTGTCAGGTTAAAAAGATTTCAGAGAACAGAGAACATTGGTGACGTGCTACTGAAGCCCTATGTCCCATTGAGAACTCAAGGGACAAATAATAATAACAATACCTAAAAGAGTGTTTATTGTTTCATTTTTCATTGAAGTCTCAACTAAGCAATCAAAGAAGTTTGTTTAACTTCCTTCTACTCATTAAGAAAACTTGTACACAACTGTGAGGTGACAATAGCATCTTCATTTAAGGTCTTTTGGTACTGGCGTTATACAGATAACCAGTCAGCAATGTAAGTTGCAACTCATGACCAACAGTGAATAGGTTAAACTGGGGGTTTTACAATATTTTATCACTAAATCATATTCTCCAGTCGATGTTCTTCAGTGAGTAATGGCCACTGATTTTATTCCTCCCAGATGTCTTACACTAGGGAAATAGGTTCTACTTAGTGATCATTAACAAATAACTGAAAGGAATATATTGAAACTTGCTGATAATTGGTTAGCTTATCAAGTTTTATTTATCCTGCTCACAATTCAAATTTTCCTCAGCTTCCAAAGCCTTTTGGTCAAAAGATTTAATAATGCTCAATAAAAATATTTTAAGGGGAATACTGTACCTTTTGAAAAGTATGTGATTTTGGCAAACTAAAGTCTAAACCTCAACCATAGGAAGTTTACTTCATCTTAGGTGGAATTTAAAACCAGTCCAAACGGCACTCATCAACATTTCCCCTGCAACCTCGACGGAACTGATGTCTTCTCAGAAATTCGAACCCGTATCACACAGTGTTGCAGTCACTGACTGAGCTATTTGGGTATCGAATAACCTCTCATAAGACTGGGTTACAATACATAAACAGCAAACCAATCTACAAAAGCAGCTGTATTACTGTAGTTAGTACGAATTAAAAAACATTGTAAACAGCAAGATACTTAGGAGAGTACTACATTCATCGTGACAAAACATGACTTCATCCAGTAACCAAATCCCTTTCTAGAATAGAATACATTCACTGACTGCTAGCACGTTAATTCTGGTTTCGTATGAAGTACTCAATCTGTCTGGTATTTCTATATTGTGTTAAAGCTTTTACAGTCAAGTTATAACTTGGGAAGGGTTCTCTCAGTTTAGTTTCTTGTGTAGGGTTTCCTGGAAGTTTGATTATACTACTAGAACTAGTAAATATCAAGGAAAGTAATTTTTCTTTTTTTAGAAGTGGAGAAGAACATCAAGTAGAAACTTTGAAAGCTGTAAGCAAGATCTCCCGAAAAAAATTTGTAAAATACTGGTTTCCGGTTGAATTTCTCAAATTTATCAATGCACGTGAGTTTAAGAAAGCAAGTATGGATGCTTTTGAAAGGCGAGTGATAGGTTTGTTACTTACTTCTAATCTGTCAGTCAGTCATTCAGCTCGTTTCGAATTTGCAATCGCTTGCAACTGACAGAAAAACCTCGTCATCCATTGTCGACTGGTTCGAAGCACAATGGTCAACCTTCATTGCTACATGAGATCCTGTGCGGATAGGTCGGTATTGCGGATAACTTCACTTTCATTATGATAAAAAAGTGGATGGCGGTATAGTTTTCGATACGTATTTCATTCCATCGGGGGCTCTTTAGTTGAATGCACTTACTTCCCATTGGTTCTAATTGTTCTCACTGAAAGTCACGTTCAACACCCATTGCTTCGAACACTGCAAACTTATCCATTAGACTACCCTGTTTTATGACAAACTGATAGAGTTATGCTTCATTCTTCTAATAAATAATAATTAGAAAATTAAATATCTCACCTACTACCCTGTTATAACTCATTACTGAGAGAATACTCCATCGTAAGAATACTTCATTTAAAAATACTTTGAATTACGCTGAATCAAACGTGAAGAGGCAATGAATAAGGTTTGGGGAACACCTATATGGCATTAGATTTCAAACAAGTAGCCTCCAAGATTTTGATAAGGTGGTCCACCGACTTCAAGCGCTTGAAAGTTTACTCAGTAACTATGCGAATGTGCAGTAAGTAACCCTCTACTCGTTATCCTTATCACTCTCAAAGGAACAATTATGTTTATGTAAAGAACGCCAGTCTATAAGAAATATGAAGAATAACAAGACTGCAATTTCCAAAAAGCATTTAATATCATAGGTTCACGCTATGCAAAATCTGAGTAATATAGGGTTTGAAAAGCATAACCAACTCACCAGTCAGCAGCACTTTTTTGTCGTACATGCATTACAGTTAACGGCCGAATAAGCAGTGGTGATTTGCTCCATCCACCACGGATAACTAGACCGGTACCCTCAGAACCAATTTTCAAATTTACAACCATATGTTTAACAGTGCATCCAACTGGAGCTAAAATAAAGGTAGTTAGGTACTATTGTCAACGAAATTGATATTCTGTACTTCAGTAGTTACAGTTACAGGGAAGGAAACATCTCGACAGACAGGAAAGTGAGTAACATATCACATGAAGACTTGGCGAAAAAGAAGTTTTATGTGACTATCTTGATTCAGCTTACACTTTTCAATGCCAACCACTAACATTGCTGGTAATAAGAATCTCTTACTGAAACAAATCTGGAAGTAAATAAATCACAAAATCTTATGTGATCTAAAGGCCAGAAAAATGACTTTCAAGCAAGGAAACCTTACGGGTGGCGGTCTCCTCCACTTTACGGGCAGTTAAGCCGAGTATGAACTGGGTATGATGTGAATAGCGATATAACTGAAAATAAAAGGCATTTAGCCTTCTGAACAAAAAGCACCAAAGTCAAATTTGATAATATTTTAAGAAAAATAGCTAGCTAGAAAATAATAAGCCACATTCAAAAGAAGAGATTCATCTCAGCGGGAATATTTGAACACTACGAAATGCAGTCAGTGTTCATTATCAATGTTCTGTTGTAATTTCTCTGGTTTTTGTCCTTCGAACGAATCTTAAGCATACCCTTGTGTGTCTGTACAAAAAGCACTCACAGACTTGTACTTTAGGTGAAAGACAATCATAATTGTTCTACTACAGCTTAACTGCAAGAATACTTTTAGGGTGACTTCTGTCGATCAAAAACTTCCGAAACTTACGAAACGACTCTTAGTGAACCTAAATGTAAAATTGATCTTATTACATGACACCTGTGACAAGATGGCATATTAGGATGAAAATTCATGACAATCCTTACTTATATCAGTGAGAACCTGCAACTTCTTAAAAGAAGCTGAATCTTATGAAGGGTGAGAGCTATTTCAGGCACCCTGGAATTTTATTTTAATCTGTTGAGTTAATGACCAATAGAATTGTGTTGTGCATGCAGGATTCCTGGTTAATACTTACTAAATTGTTCTACTGCCAGTATTACTGCTTAACTGAATTCGCTGAAATCAAAACGTAAATTTAATTTGACAGTATTGTGAGAAACCAAATGACATCACACTCTTCATCTAATATCAATACCAATTAGTGAATTGCTAAAAGCCCAGGAGTTATGGACAACTTTTCTATCCTAGTTAGGCGTCCTCAGTAGTGCGCCTGCCACAAGAATGAACTGTTTTAGTTTCGGTTCCATTTTGGAGTCATACTTGCCCAGTCACAAGGAGTCTCAAACGAGAATGAATCAACTCTACAGTGTTGCTCGGTTTTCAGTTGTTTTTCAAATAATGTCGACCAGTGGTGAGTTTTCTGAAAATTTCAAATATTGCGTAACCGTCAAATTACCTGTAGGTAATAACAGTGGCCTAGCTTAGGCTACAAAAACTTGTACTCTAGGTTTGCTAAGACCTGTTTTTGGTTTACCTAGAATCGCAGCAAACAGATAGGTCCTACCAATATGGGTGAATTTCTCATTACGGCGATATCAAATGATAAATCTATCCACGAATTAACCACCAAGCACGGTGAATTGGACAAGTAAATGGAGGCTATTAGAACGGGATCTCTAAGGTGTCACTACACAACAGTCAGTGACTTCAAAGAAGAAAAGATTTTTAAATCTTCAAATTTTAAACCTATACGGTCTGTTATAAGAAAGGGAATCTTATTAGATTGCCTAATTTCATTCAAGGTCAACAATTTAGTATTCATTATTATAAAAATGTCAGTTTATGACTGGTATTCATTACTACTGAATTCTACTCAAACTTACGTAGTGCAGGTAATTCATATCCAATTTCCATTCGAATTTTTGTACCCAGATATTTCCCTGAGTTCGAAGCTTCACCTGATGCACTTGTAAAATTCATTGACAGAATATGATCATATGGAAGGAAGCAGTCATTTCTATATTTTTTAAAATAATAAAGGATATCAACAAAAATAAGTCGGAAAATCAAAAATGGCAAAACATTTTAATCATTACAGGACACAGAATGAACTAAAATCTTTCCAAATAAAGAATTATCTTATTTGAAATAGTTGACTTAATAACAAAGGAAAATATGCATGAGTTCTCAATGTAAAAGACTGAGACACCCTTTCCAATTGGCAGGTTCCATCAATTAACTACTGTAAGTTGAGTACTTCAGCTCAAGTTTAATCCATAACTGTAATAGTCGTGTAGCATGATAATATTTTTGTAGAGTAGAACAAAAATGCAAACTCCATAGTCTAAGATGTGGGATCACAGCTTGAATTCATCCAACCTACAGAAGAATAATTTCTCAATTAACTACAAGAACATTTAAGAACCTAATTGATGTGACTGTGTGATTTGGAGAGATAACTTTCAACCATCAGCAAGTCGTGGGTTCAAACACTGCTTTACTTGCCAGGGTTCAAGTTTCCAGGCAGTACCATTAGCAGCCTTCACATAATAGATATGGCTCCTTGCCTACTACATGAATCTGCACAAGATTGTTGAGTCCATTGAGATTTGATTTTTGAGAATGCATTGATATCACAATGTAATTCATTAAATAATGGTTAAAATTCAGAGAGATAAGATTAGATAATCGTTCTGTCAGTTTGAAACTTTTTTGTACTATTCTTTAAACTAAATCCCTAAATTTCAAGGTTCACTAATAGACTATCTTCGGTTCATTTAAAATGGCTAACACTTTCGCTACTTCGACCTACCTCTGAAATTAATTAAAGTGGATTTTTTTCGAATAAGAGATACAGGCTTTCCTCAAGTTAGTTGTTATCTTGTTCCATTACCAGACGTCAACAAAAAATCACATTAGAATGAAAATTAAGGTAATATTAAAGCATTTGTCCAACGAGCCTATGTTCCAAGGAAGACCGATCTACTCGGACCAGTATTGTAAATGGCCAGAAATTACAATCATCAACAAATAAGAAATGATACCTGTTGTATAAAAGTGGCCCTGGTAACTCAGTATCCCATCGGATAAGACTGTGGCGTTTGAAGTGGTGAGTGTCTAGTTTGCCCCTCAGTGGGTACAACGTCAATCCTGAGATTCAACTACATTTTGATGATCAGTTCAAGAGAGAACGAAACACGCTTACCTGATTCCACCACTATCCATCATCAATCAAACAATTTGAAAATAACATCTCAATTTCCACTGAGTTATCTGTGTATCTGGAGTTCTCCCTATCTATTGAAGTCTTGCAGTATCATGTATTTATATCAAACAAACAAATTTTTAAAACAATTCTTCCTAAAAATTCATTTTCTCTGTTTTATAAACGTTGATTTGAACCTATATTATTACATATCAAATCAAAAATCAGTGCGCTCACAGCAGTAGATTGTAAAGTCACATAACCGTTTTAACAACTTTTTACAGAAGTGTACAGCACTAGAGAAATTCTTCTTGATGATCTAATTTTCTATAGGTAATTCTAGGATTATCTAGGGAAGGTCTTACTAAATAACAAGAAAAGCTCAAATGAGCAAGGAAAAAGTGGAAATAAAGTAAGGAGAATAGTTGAGTATGATAAGTATAAAACTGATTTAGTACAAACTCAAAGGTTTCAATTACTGCGCAACAGTACTGAAAACTAAAGCAAGAAAGGTAAGTGGATATTTTATTTCAACTATATTATACATTTACACAACATTTTCAGAAGTACAGAATATGTTTGAAACTATGAATCCATAGGAATAATGTAAACTTGTTTGAAGGATCTGTTGGGACAGGTCAGGTATTCTATGCTGGTAAGTTATATGATCACGGACCTGTTGAGAATTTTTACTCTTTTAAAGTAAGTCCGACTGAGCAGTGTTTTAAAATGCGTTTACTTACTAGAAAGTGTTTACGACCAGTAAACTTTCCTCCCTAGGTAGAAATAAACCAGCAGATAGACGATTAAATGTTTGAACGCAGTGGATCTACCTTCAAAGTAATTATTCTATGCTGATTGTCCATTGGTGAACATAATTCTGAACCGAGATGCATCGAATTGTATCGCAAATCGACAGGAGTAAGAGAATGTTGACCACTGGATTCCTACCCAGTGAATCGATGGTAATGTGCTGGCCACAGAACCCGAAGGTCCTTGGTTCGATCCCAGAGGAGTGGAGTCATGGATACGCACTGCTGGTGAGTTCAGTACTACGATGAACCATCTGTTCAGTGCTCCAAGGTTTTTAATGGTTCTCAAACTGTTATCAGCACGTGGTGAATATCAAGCCAAATCAATCAATAAATAAATCCCCGCAAACTTCAAAACCGAACTTTAAAAAAGTTTCACAGGGGGATTCTGAAGGATGTTAACCTAGATGTCTCTCTTGAATACCATTGAAATACAAATGAACAATATACATGGAAGCTGATGATGAGGTTACATCAAGCTGAAAGCGTGAACTTCACTAACTAGTGTAGATGGAAATTTATGAGCACCTTTTAGACTTTTTCCTCACTGTATTCTAAGCAAGAATGAAAAGATAATGAGGTTTATAAACAGTGTGAAGATGAAATTCTTCTATTCTAGTTAATATATCAAAATAAGACTGAAAAGGTGAACAAAAGCTAAGACGAATGTTTTTCTTACAACTTTTCAGCTCACAATATGTGAAATTATGAAAATGTTTCCTTAGAAAATAAGAGAGTGGTATACCTGAAATTTAAACTTCAGAGATGAAAAAATTATGAAGCTGATGATTTATATAAGTATTGAATAGTTAGTTTGTGTTTCTGAGAATTGTGTGACAAACAGCTCGAAAAAGTAAATGCTGTACCAGCCAAAAAGTAGAAAAAGTGAATCTCAGAAAAGTGTTATTAATTGTATTATTTTATTTATTTCAAAAGTCATTATATTTATGATGTAATTTGTAACACTTGTATAGCTCACTCGGTTCAGCAGCTTTCGACTGACTACTCATCCACTTAGATATGACTTTTGGTTCAGAAATATTTACACGTTGAGTGAAATTCGTTATTCTCCATTATCTCTTTTTTGTGTGTCTGCAATAGGTTGTTTCATCTTTATAAATTATGGTGCATTGCAGTCAGGAAATTAATTTGTGTATCCAGATGAATCAGACTGCCTGGAGTATACGAGCATCATACTTTGTGTTCTGTTTTGGACGGTCAAATTGTGTGGCTCATTGTGTCCGTGGATTGAGTATATGAGACTAGGTAATTATACTCGATACACAACACATGCACAGTTAGAGTTAATACTGAATCGGCAGGATCACATGCTTCAGACAGTTGCAACCGGGTCAAGTTGTAATAAATTGGTTAAGAGTTTAACTCAGGAATATAATCGTAAAAATATATATTGGGATCCAACAAGGACCAAGTATTAGCAAATGTAGGCTGCCGGTGAAAACTTGGGAAGATTAGTCCAACTGGTCGGATGATATTCGATTTCGATGAGCAGAGGGTTTCTGTTAGATATCATAAAAATTATGTATTTGAGTATCCGGTCCTTTAAAATCCTTAAAATAAATTTCTAGTTACTCTTCGTCGAATCCTTTCACAAAAATAAGTAGGGGAATGTTGCAGCAGCTAAAATCTGATCTCCGCGATAAAATATAGTCCTGTCCCACTATAAAATGAACTGATAGCTTATAGGTGATCTTATCCTATATGATTAACGGGCTGAATAAAATGCCCAACGTTGGTCCTAACTACTCTTGTTCCCCGAGTTACGACGTTCGAGTTGATGCTACTAACTAACGTCACACCCCTGACTCAGAAGGAAGACCAAGGTAAACTTTTAGTCCACACAATGCACAACTATATTATATATAACAAAGTTAGTGGAAAATGTACAAGGCTTTAAAGGTGTTCTTACTTATACATATATATATATATATATATATATAACGCAAAATAGAAGGTAGCAGTCAGAATGCTAGGAGAAAAAGTCTGGTAAATTAATATAATAACTCTCAGTATCTTCCGCTGCTGTTTATACATCCATTCTTTATTATTCTCCAAAGATTAGGCATTTTCTGATTGTAAATGTACCATCCCGGATTTCTGTTCATTTCGACTTTGCTTTCTGTTGCTTGAAATGGTTCATTCTTATACACACTTCTGATTTATTGCACCTATCAATCCGTCAAATGCTTCACTTGTTTTAGCTAGTGCTTTTAAATTAACGGAATTTCCGGATTTTCATATATTGAGGTGTACTGTCTTTTAATACAGCTATCGGAAAAGTTGCTAAGTACTGATGGGAATAGTCTAAATAATATGAATTTCTAGATTACTTATGATGTTAACAGTTCCTCTTAAGATACGGTATGAACAGAAATAACTTTATTTGTGCTTGCTACTAGATTACCTTCTTCTTCTTCTCCACTTGTTCAGAAAACTCATTCCAGTCTAGTAGTCTGAATTATAAGCGTTAACTTTGCAGCAGGCTAAACACACACAAATTTGAATCTTTATTTTGACCGGTCATTTGAAAGTCTTGTCAAAGTAACGAATCAGAGAATACCTGTTTTCAGAAAAAACCTACTAATGAACAACTTGAGTAGTCCTGTGGATTTCATCAGCGAGATCAGTCGTCTAAGCAGTGGACAGCTAATACACTAGTTTTAGGGCCGATCTTATCAGTGGTATATCCCAGAGTTGGGTGGTTGAAAAGCTACTCTGCTGTGAGAAATGTTAACGTGGATCGTGTAATTTGCAAATCATTTAAAAATACCTGTTCCCATTAAAGTTTTTCAGGGTCAGTCTTTCCATATCAAAATCCTATACTAAATGATGTACACAGGTGTAGACTACAAAACTGATTCGAAATAAACCAATATCTATCTGTGTCTTTACTCGGAGAGGTTGTTGCGTCAGTAAATAGCTGTCAGAAGTTAACAGGAAGTGAGAATTTTGAAAACAAGTAGGTTTAAAAGTAAGTAGACATAGATATGAAAAGAAAATGCAAAAGGGTTGAGTCAAAATCAAAACAAGGAACAATAAATTATTCGGAAATCGAGAAGTAAATATCGAATTAATTCAAACATGTAACAATTATTCTGTCTTCAAAGCGAAATTGTTGTAATTAGTTTACAAGGATATCACGATTAGGCTGGCTTTGTGATGAACCTCCTAAAGTTCCACTGAGAAACCGTGACCCACGGGATCATCGACCGCATTAAGTAATTATCGAGGTATGACGAGGTACCACCTACCTCTGCGTAAAATGCTAGCCGTAACATGGTGTGCTAGAAAGAAAGGTCAGTGCAACCAGAAAAAGATGTGGTTGGTTTGAGTAGTGTGAGGTGTACACTTCCTAGTTGAGGTGCGCTAGATTGTAAGAATCACTGGTTGGAGGCGATTATTGATCTGGCTAAAAGTCAGTGAAAATTAAGCAGATGTATTCACCCCTTTCATCTTCTAAGGACTGAACATTCGCGGTTACTCTGATTTTCAAGTTCTTTCTTCCCTGTCTTATACACACTTGTCTATTTTGATATTACTCATTTTCGACCTTCTTATCCTTTACATAAAGTTGTTAAGTGTGGTAAAGTGAACCGGGGTACTTCTTTTCGAGGTTTGACGTTGATTTTGCTTCCATATCCGTGACTCTGTCAATGAGTAATGTCATTCTTTGGACGATACTCAATAGTTCAGAAATCAGGTATCCTTTACTCTGGCGTTTCAAATTAACAAAAAACAGTTGCTTAATGTTCCAATGTTGTCACTATCTCTCTATCTGAAACTGACATTTTATGATAGCTTTGAAATCAATCAGCTTTAGAAAAATCCTCAAAACAAACTGTAGCTGTTGATGGTTTTTTAAACTATACAAGTACGGTATTTACTGTATGGCCAAAATTTTTAAAAAGTTAGTCATTTAGATCAGGGTAATATAAGTCCACATGAAGAAAATCAAATAGGTTGCTGTGATATGAAGTATTTCAACCTATAAATCTTCAGAATATGGTAAACCTGATTTTCTTTTCGACTAAAAAAGAGGGGAAATTTCCGTTATTTATGAATTTTAGATTCAAAGGAGATACAGTGGCAGAGATGCTCGAGAATCAATTATGTAAAGCACTGAAGAAGACCTTTCCACCCAACTTTGGATCGCTTTTGCGGTCAACAACTGATTCGAGGGCGTGTGCAGGATAAAATACCGTTTTCGGTGAGTTCTGTGTGTGGTTATCGGTTCCCCTGCTGTTGTGAAGCTGGTAACATAGTAAGCACAAAGCGTGTTCTTTCTAAACTCATTTCCAGAACATACTCCTGCATGACTGTCCAAAGAAGAATGCGAATCGACTGACAGCTCGATTCTTGGGCATCTGGTTACTCTGCTCCACTAGAATCTTCCTTCAAAGTCAGCTGCAACAGTAAAATCAGCCATTTCGAAAGGAGAGTCTATTCACCACCTGAATACAGCAGAAACCTTGGTCATTAATTGGTTCAAGCCTGATCAAAAGAGATACGTCCAGTCTCTAATCCTAGCTTGGTCATAATCTATCTATGATATTTTATTTGATTACTTATTGTGATCCAGTAGACAAATTTTTGATAACCTCATATTAACCCACTAGCTAATGACGGACATATATTTTGTTGTAACCACAATTTGATTTTTCTTTATTGATACTTGTAATCCTCTTTTGCCAACAGAGGTAAGGGAATTCGACTCAGTATGGCAACGAAAAATTACGGGTGTCAATAAACAAAACCTTATACCCACTGCATAAGGGGTAGCTCTTGAGCTTCGGTGGCCTATTGGATAATGCTTTTGGATTTGAGACTATGTTACTGGGTTTGTGTTTTAGTGGGAACATCATCACTTACTGAGGTGCAGGCACATCCAACTGAGAAGTCCAAAGGAAGATGAAACCCATGCCATAAATCAAAATACTAGTCACGAAGTAAAACTACAATATAGTTATGACTGTACAGCTTTTGAAAATGATTCAGTGGAAAGAAAATTTTCTTCGCCAAAATGAATTTTGTTAAGTTACTAAGCATTTTGTGTTAAATTCAGTGCACTAAATATTTCCAACCCAATTAACCTCTCCTTGAATAAAAACAATATCATCGCCTACCTTTCTGCAATGCTTCCAGGACGAATGTTTAGGATAACTGGAGCTTCACCTTGGCTAGAACCATCTGAGACAGTTAAGCCTAAAGTCGACTTTTCATCCTTCAATATTTCAACGGTTACACACCCAAATGGGAATAAATCTGTAGCATTAAAAAAGAGAAAGAAAAAGAGTTAGAAGATGTGAATGCCAATTTTAAATAAATCCTTAAGTGTAGTTTGTGTATGAAAAATGGGTAACTCGGCGCTTCCTAACGTAGTTACGTAAACTTCAACGGCAACTGGCGATTTCCAGACCATTTTTAGTAATGAGACTAGCTGAGATATTTTTAAACAGCGTAATGAGAAGACGAAGATTATCTGAAACATGTGATGTATTAGCGCTATTTATTTCGAACAATCTGATCACACATGGACTCGTCGAACTACTTATGTGAAAATTTACGGAAAAAGTCAATGAAGTTAATAGGAAACATAGGAATAGGAATGGATAGAAAAAAAAGGAAAACTTTACTCTTGTTATGAAAATTAAAATCAATACCGCCAAGGTAGGTTCAACGTGAGTACGAATTGTTTTTCTATACATAAAGGGGGTTTAAACTTACGGATGGCAAGAGCTTCAATAAATCTAAGCACTCTGCTCTGACCACTTTTATGTAGTACTTTAAGGGCTGTTTTCATGTCTATCCTATGGTTAGTTTCTGGTATATGTTTAGCGATAGGCGAAGATGGATGTTTGTCACCTGCACTTATCGAATCTGTTGACGTCATTTGTTTTTGTAGCCACTTAGGTACATGTTCAACCTTCCTTAACTGCATATCACGATTACTCCTCCCTATATATGTGTGTCCACACATACATGTAAATTGATAAACACAGTGGGATGTGATGTAATCGTTTATATGTTGTTTCGGTTTGTGCTGTAACATGGACTTGGTCTTCTCTGCAATGATGACCTTAGCTGCATAATACGTTTTACAGATGGCCGATCTAAGTCTTTTCCTCACAACAAAGCTATGTGAATCACCTCTAAATGGTAATGAGATGTAGACATTTTTCTTAGCAACGAAAACTGTACTTTTCAGTGGTGCATAACTTTTGCACCGGTCGAAAAATCTCAACGGATATCCATTCTGTGTCAGAGTTGTCGTCAGTAAGTTGGTTTCTTCCTCCCTGGTGTCATCGGTGCAGATATCGGTGCTGAGATATTTTTGATTTGTCAGGCTGTTGTTATTGTTAATTGATGATGACTGGAGGCGAAATGTATACTTTTGGTGACTGAAGTCAGGATCTGGATAGCACCTGGATCTAGTAGCTCAGTTAATAAGACGCCACACTGGCAACCCTTAGGCTACAGGTTCGAATCCCGCAGAGGGCCAGCTTTCTTCTATACCTTCAGTCATCACCCAGTGTCAATAATCCCTTTTTAGTTTACTTTCACTTTCCCGTGTTTGCCGTCTCACTAATCGCTAAGTCTTCTGAAACTTATACCTAAGAAGCTGAATAAAACGTTTGCTAGTGTATTCTTTCACGGCGACACCTCTGTTTTATAGCCAGCGCCATGGGCACAGTAACGAGATCTGAAGAAAGTTTACCTTAAGAAGCTGAAAGAAAGTTTTCCAACCGCGAAATCAAACAACACATCACTACCTAACTTATACACTGGTCTTGAAATCTGTGAAGAATAATTCACTTGACTTATATGTAGTTTAGAGTTTGATTGATACTCTGTATTTCTTGAAAGACAGTATTTTGGTGGTTCAGTTCAGGAAATTGAGGTTCACACCGTCAAATATCTTGAAAACCTTCGTTCTTACAGTTTCAATAGTTTAACTATATCTTCCGCCGATGTAGCTTTACTGTGGTTATGCGCATTTTCCACTTTAATAATGAAACTTGGTCATTTAGTATCAAGTGTATTCCCATAACCAGACATTGCAAATTACCTTATTATCCATATTTCCTGAGGAGACTAGATACCAATCAACTTAGTGTGTTACAAACAATCTCTGAAAGCAGTACTCTTACAATAATTAGTGAAGATAAAATGCAACGATTGCAGTTATTTGATTCAGCCAACATCCAATTTATGCTAATCATTCAACTATAACAAAAGATAATCTATCAACAAACCCTTCGTCTTTTCAGTCAACACTTAAGCAGCTACTAATTCAATCACTCCTGGAGACTACGCTAACTTCAGTTGTGTAAAAATGTCCTGAAGACGTTGATTTGCTTAGCTCTATGTTTGAGAACTCAAATTTCATTATTGACAGTAGCGATAATATCAAGGTTGGTCTACTAATATATGAATGGAAATTTTATGGATTCACTCTCTTCAAAAATCAGAAAAATATGCACGGAGTATAAAATGGATGAAGGATTAAAAAGCCTGTGACAAATTTCGATAGAACATGCATGCCCATAGAAATTTATAGATGCGATTTCAAAGCTTAAAGGCATCATCAAACTCGTACGTATTGTTTCGAGACAGACTATATTGTTGAACCCAGAATTCAAGGGAGACAATGCAGCAGACATCCTCTGAAAGTAACTATAAAGATTCATTCAGTCCCATTGTCTTCTTCTTCCGGCATCAGCTGGATATCTTCTCGAATAGTTATCGTTCTATCGGTAACCATATCACATCAAAACATTACATCGTCCACATACACATACTGCAGGTCCTAGTACATTCGCCGTACCCTGCGCCGGCTCAAGAATTTTACTCATGAGCGATATCTAGCTTGTGTGAAGAGTAGAGAACGAAGGTGTTTCTTCAGCTTTATAAAGGAACACATTATAAACTCAGAATACCAGGAATTTTTCACAAATTTTTCACATTTCATATAAATTGGAATTAGGCCATTAGAAAGCAATGAAGACAAGACGATTTGACATTGATGAAAAATTAACTATTCCAGAGTGTGAACAATCATTACGCGTTCAAAAGAAGCATAAGCAACCTTCTTCTTTGTCATGATCATTATAAAGCATTGTTCATTCAAAAAATTGCCAGTGTGATGTATCTGCATTTTCGGTTTCCTGCATTTATTTCTACTTTCTGTTCTTCTAGGTTCCTAGTGGAACATAAGGTTTCAGTAGCAAGTCTCCATTTCACTCTCTTCTCTGCAGTCTTTTCAACCAGGCTCCACGAATCCCCACATGCTTTCACTTCTTCCTCACACGATCTCCTCCATGTCACCCTCGTCTCGGACACCCAACTCATCGTTTCCCATGCGGGTTCCACTCGACGGCCTGACCTGACACGTGATGCCCCCGAATGGTCTTCTCAGACTATGCCCAATCCAATCCATCTCCACCTTCTTCTGCATATTTGTTGGGCGATGGCTTCTCGGTTGGTTCGTTGCCGTGCCAGAGTTCCTTGTTGCTTATTTTTTCTAGCCATCTATCTGATCTTCAACAATGAGTGAGCGTAGCTGGCGGCTGTTGATGAATGTCTTTAGTTTGTTGGAAATGCTTTTCGTAACGCGTCAAGTCTCTCAACCATCACACAGAAGCACTGACTTGACTGAATTAATGTTGAAAATCCGGATCCTATTCATGCTTTATGCTGAGTGCAGTAGATCTCCACACTGGTTTCAGGTTAATAAACACCTGTCTCGCTGTCTTTCAGATCCTGGCTTTGACATCCTCATCTACGCCTGTGCCGCCTGTAGTTGAAACGATACTGCCTAGGTAGGTGTGGGTGAAAGAGACTACTTCCTTCAGGTTTCTTCCGTTGATGGTGATTGGTGCTTGTTGTTGTTGTTGTTGTTGCTGCTGCTGCTGCTGCTGGTTGGTTGGTTGGGTCTCTTCATCGCCTCTGTCTTATATACGTTCACTTGAAGTCCCGTCTTCGCTGCCCTACCTCTTCTGCCAACTTCTTGATTTCTGCCTGTAGATCTTCAAGTTTGTGTGACATTAGGTATAAATCATCATCATCATCATCATCATCATTGGCGAAATGCAAATCTTATGGGCTCTTCTCATCGGTCAAACAGCGTATGCCCATCCTCTCGCTCCTCATGCTTTGCTGCATGATCCAGTCGACCACAATCAGGAAGATCATGGGTGATAGTAGGCAGCAGCCTTGTCTTACCTGTCAACCCGTCTTCACTTCAAAGGCATCACTGAGCTCAGCTTTCCATTGTGAATCACTTGGCATGTGGCGTCTTCATATAGCTGTTGAATGAGATTGATAAGGGTTTGTGGTATTCCGTAGTGTTGAAGCAGTAGCTGCCAAATTACTTCTCGGTTGACGTTGTCGAAGGCTCTTTCCAAATCGATGAAGTTAAATTAGAGAGTTGACTTTTTTCTGTTCTTTCCTTTATATATTCAGGAATGTAAATCTGGCAGATGGTGGATGCCAAAAAGAGAAATTTCTCTCTCCAACAATTATCTTTCATTTCATGTGACAAATTGTCTGCATCACAATATTTTTCAGAATTTTCTTAGAATAGTCCATTTTACACTGAGAATGATGTAGAAGGCAGTCTCGTTGATAAATAAAAAGATTATATATCTAGATTATGACTTCTAACATCTTGGCTCTAACCTTTTCAGGAGTCAGAAGACACCTGATTTTTTTAGCTTATTATTGGAACATCCAGCTCAATTACACTTATTGGCTGCTAAATATTAATTATCAAAGCGCAAAAAGCGTCATTGACACTGGACGCTTTCAGTGTCTTCACACGTTACTGGGCAGTCTATGTTCATAGTGCTTGCTGAACACTGACACTGTCCAAGTGTCAAGTATGAAACATCGAAAAACGTTTTTGGCCTCCTAAGAATTTGCTAAATTTGAAAATATCACCATTTAAATTGCGCTTCATCGAAAGTCAACAAATTTTTCAAATGCCATCAGATTCTTGTATCTTTTGCATCAAGACTCGTTAAAATTTTCTGTCCACTGAGAACTAAGTTTCCTCTTTCTTCTTCTAAGAATTAATTAACAAAACTTCTTATTCGAACACTAATTTTGTCAATTACGATTTTTAGTAGAAAAACATTTGTTCGATAATATTTCTTATTTGCTGTTAGTGTGATCTCAGAACAATTTCCCTTTGCGGTGAAATCATACGTTTGCAATGGAAACAAGCAACAACCTATCATCAATCAATAGTGCGTTTTGCGTCA